GTACCTTTATCCGCTTGTAACATCAGGAAATCGGTGATGGCCTTTCGCTGTTCGTAAAGGCGGTCTAACATATGTAGGGTTGAATTCCACCTTGTTGCAACGTCGCAGATCAGGCGATGCTGTGGAATTCCGTTCTGCCGCTGCAGCTCAAGGAGGGTGTGCTTTGCGGTGTAGGAATGGCTGAAATGCATGCAAAGTTTACGTGACATTTTAAGGATGTCTTGCAGTGGGATGGTGGATTTTAGGAACCGCTTGACAACCAGATTGAACACGTGAGCCATGCATGGCGCATGGCACAACCTTCCTTGACGCAGAGCAGACACCATGTTCTTTCCGTTGTCGGTCAACATGGTTCCGATTTTCAGTTTGCGCGGAGACAGCCATCTGTCGATTTCTCTGTTCATTACACTCAGAAGTTCCTCCCCTGTGTGACTACGTTCGCCAAGGCATACCAGGTGCAGCACAGCGTGACACCGTTGCGCCCTGCACATGTGATATGCCGGTCGGGTAATGGGACTTGGCACGGGGGTGGCGGCTGAGGACACGGCGGAAGAAGAGGTGGTAGAGGCGGACATCTTTGCTGGACCAAGGACGTGCAAACGTGGAGGCAAAAGCGGCGTGACCTGTCCAAGTTGCTGGTGCGGCTGTGCCGGCACCACGTTCACCCAGTGGGCCGTAAATGACATGTACTGTCCCTGACCGTAGTTACAGCTCCACACGTCGGCGCTGCCGTGCACTTTGGCAGAGACCGACATGCTCAAAGACTGGCCCACCATCTCTTCTACATGTGAATGCAGGGCTGGCACTGCCTTTTTGGCGAAGAAATGCCGGCTGCCGGCTTGGCACTCTCCACCGCGGCTCGGCACAAGCCATCATTTCTCGGAAAGGTGCTGAGTCCACCACTTGGAAAGGGAGGGACTGCAGCACCAGCAACTTGGACAGGAGGACGTTCAGCTTCTGCACCGTCGGGTGCGTGCTCGCAAACTGTTGTCTCTTGGAAACGGATTCCAAGAAAGACTGCTGACGGAATCCGTGAAGAGGAGTAGCAGGAGAAGGAGCATCTGAACGAGCGGAAGATGCCAACGAGCGACAACTCCCCTCAGCAGAGGTGTTGGAGCCTTGACTGGCTGATAGAGGGCGATTGACGTCGGGTGACGGAGCAAGTAACGGAGCGGGTGATGGAGCGGGGGCTGGGGCAGGCAGAACCGCCGTATCTTTATCACGGTTTTCCCAGGCCACCGAATGGCGACGCTGCATATGCTGACGCAACGCTGTAGTCCCAACATGGGCCCCCTGGCCACGCTTGACTTTCTGGCCACATAGTCGACATACGGCTACGTTTACTTCCTCGGGCGGCTTGACGAAAAATTGCCACACCGCCCGCCGAGTAGGAAACTTTGCCCCCGCTACTCCTCACTGGCTGACTGCTACTTCCTCCGTGCACACCGGCACCACTACTGGCCGTGGTGGTAGGCTGCAGTGGAGCTGGTGCTCTACTCCGTGGCCGTTTGCCTCCACTGACACTGCTGCGACCCTGCTGCCTCCTGGGCAACCCACCGACTGTTTTGCTCGCTGGCAAGCTGGCACCCTCTTCTCCTGATGATGCGGAAGCAATAGCCTGATGACGACGAGGCTGCCAAGTGCGATCAGCCTCATCATCATCAATTAGGGTCTCCGCGTCACTACTAGCCCCCCCTCGGCTGCGTGTGGGTCAGGAGACAGACCTGTCTCTAGACCGGCTACCGAGCCACTCTCCTCGCCAGTACTTCTTCGCCTGGCTGCTGAAGAGGCGGATGTCTCCCCCCGTTCCTGACCGCCCTCTGTTAGCTCTTCCTCACTGTACAGTGGGGCTGAGCCCACAGCATGCGATACTTCGCTTGGTGAGGGAACACCAAAGGACAGGGGCAGGTAGAGGACACGTGATTTCAGTGGGCTTGCTCCCGGGCCATGCCAACTAACGGTTGTGTCTGACGTACCCACCGACCGTTGGCTGTAGGTGTCAGAGGTGACCTGGGAAGAGGAAGACGACCGAGTCAACCAATCGATGACGGCAGGGTTGTCGGTGGAGACACGACCGCTGGATGACACCGGGAGCACTGGCCTCTGGCTGCGACTAGTGCTGCCTCGACCCCTTCCTCTGCTGCCACGTCTGCTCGCTCCTGAAACATTGCCTCCTCTGCCACTCCTCTGCGTGTTGTCTGACATACTCTTTAATTCAATAAGCACCCCAAACATAAAACAGGATTTAACTCTTTGAACGTACAATAGTGGTTGTGAAGCAGAAAGTAACGATTCTGTGTCCCTGAGTAACGATTCTGTGTCCAGTAACGATTCTGTGTCCCTGAGTAACGATTCTGTGTCCCTGAGTAACGATTCTGTGTCCCTGAGTAACGATTCTGTGTCCCTGAGTAACGATTCTGTGTCCCTCAGTAACGATTCTGTGTCCCTGAGTAACAATTCTGTGTCCCTGAGTAACAATTCTGTGTCCCTGAGTAACGATTCTGTGTCCCTGAGTAACAATTCTGTGTCCCTCAGTAACAATTCTGTGTCCCTGAGTAACAATTCTGTGTCCCTGAGTAACGATTTTGTGTCCCTGAGTAACAATTCTGTGTCCCTGAGTAACGATTCTGTGTCCCTGAGTAACGATTCTGTGTCCCTGAGTAACAATTCTGTGTCCCCTGAGTAACGATTCTGTGTCCCTGAGTAACAATTCTGTGTCTGTCCCTGAGTAACAATTCTGTGTCCCTGAGTAACGATTCTGTGTCCCTGAGTAACGATTTCTGTGTCCCTGAGTAACGATTCTGTGGCCCTAAAGTCTCTGTGGCCCTAACTCTGTCCCTAATACAAACAGGTCTGTCTCTCTTGAATGACCGGAGGCTAATGGAGAATTCTAAGATGGCCGCGATTTATAGCTCCACCATTACACAGTGCTGGCTGGCTGGCTGCTGATTGGCTAATGCGATCACATGTCATGAATGAATGCATTATGGGTCAGCGCGCCTTGTCTGCGCGCCTTCCCAGAGATCCCCGCTCCGTCGCCACACATGTCGCCGCCGCATTTTTGGGAAAAATTCGATTCGTGCATCCGAAGTTTGCTAATTTTCGGATTCGGCGCAAATCGAATTTTTCCTAATCTTCGAAACGAATTCCACTTCGTCATGTTCGATTCGCTCATCTCTAGCAATAATCAAGGCAAGAGATAACAAAGGAGTGAATAAATAGCTTGGTGGTGTCGGAGCAAAGAAAGAGCAAATTTTGAAATTTGTCACAGATGTTACAGCAACATGATTTGGATAGTGACTGGATGTTGGCTAAGGAGAAGTCAGAGTCCTAGCACCCTGGCCTAAGCAGAGAGACATGGGGCTTGACAAAGTAGCAATATTATGACCTTGGTTTTTGAGTTTGAGGAAGTGGTGTAATATCTACCCTCTGGGCTGCTGTTGAAAACCATGGATCCCCATACAGCTAACCTGAAAAGGGCCCCCACCCCCCTAAAAAAAACACAGTTTACTTTGCTTCAGTCATGAGTGAACATAGTGAATGATTGGTACTGAAAGCTAGCGGGATGGAGAGGAGAAGCCAGGTTTCAGCTGCTGCAAAGAGAGTCATACAGGGGATCAATTCCAGTAATTGCCCCCTGCCATGCTAATCCCCCTCCATGTGATTCCCCATCCCCATCTGATTCACCCTGTTGCCTGGGACTCCCTGCTGGCCTGGGCCCTGTATAGGAGTTTTAGTGGCACCCCCTTATCCATGGCCCTGTATACACTGATGTATTAGTTAGAAAATTATTGCTGTTTGAGGAGACTTCTCAGCATAGAGATGATATTGGAAGCTATTGGAGGTTATCAATGAGTTGGTAAAAAAGGACTCATAATTTTCCTTGAGGACTCTACTGGATTTTGTTTTTAAATTAATATTTATGAGGTTATCAACTGGCCCAGAGAGGGGGTGCGGAATAGAAGGGGCCTGAGGACAGAGCCTTGGGAGATCCCTATAGGAAGAGGAAGAGGGAGGAGATGTAAGAGACACTGAAGGTGCCTTGAAATAGATGACACGCTTTAATATGTTATTGTATTTTCAAAAGCCATTTTTTTTAAATCTGTATCTTTCAATTACAGGTGTACCTCGGTTTATAAATTGAATTCGTTCTGCGGGACTTTTCATATTGCGAAAAATTCGTAAACCAAAATGCGATTTCCCATAGGAATGCATTGAAAACCAATTAATCCGTTTAGGAGGTCAGAAAAAAGTAAAAAAAAGTATTTTATCTGTTCAAAACTCTTTATAAAGTACACTTTACTTAAGGCATAGTACTGTACAGGGACATGATTAAAGAAGAATTCGTAAACATTGAAAAGCAATTCATCTCTTTATATTGCAAAAAAAAAAATTGTAAACCGCGCCATTATTTTCAATGGATTTTCATTCGTAAACCGAAAATTACGTTAACCAAGGCGTTTTATGCCTGTAATAATGTTTTGTGATCTTACGATAAAGGTCTTTGTTCCCCTGCAGTGACCGTTGTCAGCCTCCTTTTTCAGAGGAGAATACTCTGCATAATGTCATCTTTTTTATATTTTACCAAAAATTGGGCATTATAAAAAAATTCATATACGTGTATTTGTTTCCAAAAAGTTGATTTTAAAAAATTGCTGTGCTGTGTGACATAAAACAAAGTTGCCACACCCACTATTTTATTCTCTGGGGCTCTGTTAAATAATAGCACCTAGGCATGCAGACTGCTTCTACAAACATTTGTGAAAGAATGGGTCGCTCTCAGGAGCTCAGTTAATTCAAGCGTTGGTACCGTGATAGGTTGCTATCTGTGCAATAAGTCCATCCGTGACATTTCCTTACTACTAAATATTCCACGCTCAACTGTTAGTGGTATTACAACAAAGTGGAAGCAACTGGGAACAACAGCAACTCAGTCACGAAGTGGTAGGTCACGTAAAATGACAGAGTGGGGTCAACGCATGCTGAAGCACACAGTGGGCAGCTGCTCGGCCATGGAAACCCATTCCATGAAGCTCTCTACGCACTGTTGCTGTGCTAATCTGAAGGCCACATGAAGTTTGGAGGTTTTTAGCTATTGACTCTGCAGACAGTTGGTGACTTCTGCACACTGTGCGCTTCAGCATGCGCTGACCCCGCTCTGTCATTTTATGTGGCCTACCACTTTGTGACTCAGTTGCTGTTGTTCCCAGTTGCTTCCACTTTGTTATAATACCACTAACAGTTGACTGGGAAATGTTTAGTAGTAAGGAAATTTCATGGATGGACTTATTGCACAGGTGGCATACTATCACGTTTGGACTGCCTGTGCAACCTCTGTAGGGTCCAGGTATCGCCTCATGCTACCAGCAGTGACACTGACCCTAGTCAAATGTAAAGCTATTGAAAAACAGTCAGAAAAGATGAGTACGGAAAAAAAAATGTCAGTGTCCTCCACCTGTAAAACCATTCCTGTTTTGGGGATCGTCTCATTGTTGCCCATCTAGTGCACCTGTTGATAATTTCATTAACACCAAAGCAGCTGAAACTGATTAACAACCCCCTCTGCTACTTAACTGACCAGATCAATATCCTGGGAGTTTCATTGACTTGATGCTATACTCTGATGAAAAAGTGTTCCTTTACATTTTTTGAGCAATATATATTTATATATATATATATATATGTAATGTTTGGGGGTTCTAAGTAATTTTCTAGAAAAAGAATGCTGATTTTTACATGTACAAGAAAAGTGCCAGAATTGGCCCGGTAGGCAAGTAGTTAAAATGCCCATTTTTACAAGATTTTCATTTCAATTAATGTTTCCTGGACAAAGCTTTGCAAGCTGGTAGTGGAGAGGCTAGATGTACAATCAACACTTACAGTAGATACTCAGTGCACAAGCTTTTGTTTTGATGGCTGAAGTACAAAAAGTCCTTTAGAATAGAAAGCTCTTTAGAAAAAAAAAAAAAGAATTGCAGGCAGGCCGGCATCATCACAGTCTGATCCGACACTGACTGAAGCATATCGGTTAGCTCACCCCTATTAAGCAGTGCCAGTTTTTTGATAAATTTGACAAAAATACACTCAAATCTGCCCTATGTTGAATTGTTTTGACTCTTATCTACAATACTCCATAAATACTTCCATGTCTTTGATGCTTTCAGATCATTAATTCTTTTGTATTGCATCTATGTCCTGCTCCCATAAAAAAAAAAATCTCCATTAACCACCAGCCAATTTATAGGAAATAAACAATGCATTGGAAGTTTGTGATGATAAACTTTAATGGCTTACACAATCACTGAAATGAGATTTGTTTTTAGTACCCAATTTAAGGGCATTAGTGATTACAGAAGTAGAGTGGAATAGTCTCACAAAGTTCACTTGTAATGTTGACTTCGAGATACAGTGAGTGGATTATTAGCTTTGTATAAGCACATTTTTGATCGCCTCCATTCTGTTATAATTTCTAGCACATTAAAAAAAATGGACGCTGATGTAAATAAATGTCTAAATGGCTTTTTCCAGCACTGAGATTTTTTTTTGCTATCATCACAGAGGCTGGACAAGGTGAACATGCAGTACGATAAGGGCTGGTTTTAAGGACTAGGCTTAAATCCAAAGCCTCACACCTTTTTTCATGATTTCTGACTGATATTTTTTTGGAATTTCTTTAAAATCTTTTTTTTTTTTATATTGCTTCCTGTTTTCACACTCCAGAGCTCTATGCTGGCAGAGCTGAGTGATAGCCACACCCCTCAGTACACAGAGTTGTATTGCAGAGAAGAGGAGGGGGCGTGTCCAGTTACAGGACACAGCCCCGAGACACAGCCTGGGACGCAGGTTGTACTGTTATCCTACCTGAGAACCCCTAACCCTGAAAAAAAAGGAATTTTGGGGGCTAACCAAGTGATTAATCAATTGTTTAAATAGATATATAAATGACAGTGATACAGAACTTTATTTTATTGGAATTCTCCCTCCTTCTGTAATTTACAAACCCAATTTTTTTTTTCACAAAAAAGCCCCACAGGCAACAGATTCATAAACTTCTGGAATTCTTGGTGAAGGCAGCCCTCCTCAGATAGGGGACTCCAATTTGAAACTACAAAAAAAAAATAGATGGGGAAGGCACAAGCACTTAGTGCATCTTAGATTGTAAGCTCCATGGCGCAGGGCCCTCCTACCCTCTTCTATTGAACTGTATTGTTGCTGGATTGTCTCCCTTTGTATTGTAAAGCGCTGAGCAACCTGTTGGTGCTATATAAGACCTGTATAATAATAATATAATAATAATTACCACAATTTTTCTTGGGAATATATAGAACCAATAAAAAAAGGATGCTTACAAAAGTACAACATGTAACAGAATGTAACCAGAAGATGCCATACAATATAGGATGCACATGCTCCAAATCCACCTCACTATGCTGGCTACTGATGCGTTTCGGGGGCGCACCCCCTTCCTTAGAACTAAGCTGACCAGCCCATCTATGTTCAAGTGCATAAGTACAGAAACGCTCACGAAAAGCCCCTCTCTACAATAGGAAGGGTGGAGCCAAAGTCTCAAAAATGAGAAAAAAACATATATAATAATGGTCATAATAACAATAAAAATACCCATAAGTTAGTGTACCACACAATCGCGCTACACTAACCTATGGGTATTTTTATTATTATTATCATCATTATTATACATATATTATAATTTATATTATTTTAGGAGTATTTTTTTTTTTTGTATACGGATGAACTACAGACAAAAAAAAAGAAACACGCATGGAATGTTGCAAGCCAAGATACATCAGTTTGAAATGAATTTTGGGTTTTTATATGAATGTAATTAAAAAAAAAAAAAAATATATATATATATATATATATATATATATATATATACACATATATTTGCTGGAGGTGGGTGGAGTGGTAAGGGAAGTTGTGTGTGTTTTTTTTTTTTATTTTGCCTGTCGCACCCTCCTAGTTAGGGTATAGGATGGTAGGTAAATTTAGTTTGGCTCCTCTGTAGTCTGTGGAGCAGTTCTTGATTGCCTTAGTTTGCTTGTTGTATCACAGGCTGCTGGTCTGATTATTTCCCTCTGCATTCTGGAAAGTTCTGGGATCATAGTGGGTGGAAAGGCAGATAGGCAATCTGAATATTTATGGAAACCCAGCCAATCCCTGTGGAGGTGTGTCCAGTAGGTGGCTAGAGAGCCCATAAACAGTCAGGAGTTCAGTTGGTTCTGGGTCCAGTCCTGAAGGGGCTCTGACCCTAAGGGCAGCTCAATGGAATGCTGCTGTATGCTCAACGAGGATCCAGCTGTAGCATAGCTGGGGGGCCTAGTTGAAGGGTTTGGTCTGGGATCTTGCTCTGAAGGGGCCACTGAAGAGTGCCTGGTAGAAGTTGGAGGGGGTGTCCAGCTGTCCAGTGTCACTGAGAGCCTTGTTTCTCCCTCACAGAAGAGTGCCTAGTGGATACGAAGGCAGTAGCTGGTGATCCTTTGGCATTGTGAGTACCGACCTGAACTCAGAGCCCTAGTGACTGTGTGTAGTTCTCTTTTTTTCAGAAGGCCCATGGAATTTCTTTGTCAGTGGTGGCCTTTATGAGTGCTTTATTTAAGCTACATCTCCAGCTCTTGTCTACAGGGACTGTTTAAGAGAAGAAGTGTCCTCTTGCTCTCACTGTCCCTGGGGTATCCCATGCTTCCCCTCACCCCATCCAACTTCCTACAGCAATAATGAGCATAAAAGACACCTATTTATTGGGCCAGAGAGAGAAAATGCTGTGTGCCTGGCTGCCTTGGCACTTAGTTTGGGAAGGAACCAGTTAAATTACAGTGGCTCCTTTGGGAGTAGCTCTACATACCCATAATTACCTTCAAAGACCAATTCATTGGTTTTTCAGTTCACCAGTTAAGTCTTCACTGCTTGTTCATTACCCAACTACACTGCAAGCTGTGTGAACTAACTAAGTGTTTGACCTAACTGTTTTTGGAGGCATGTTCCCCATGTTCTGTGCTCCCTCCTGTGGGACCCGCAACCCCATGACAGGGACCACTGTGTACAGGGGAGGGAAACCAGTAAACGTCCCTTCACTGATCTCCCCTTTCTAGTAAGAACCCTCATGCGGCATGCATTACATCACTTCCAGGTTGGGCTTTCACTCCTTTAACTTCAATTCAGGATAGGTTGAAGAGACCCCTGATGTCTCAGAATCTGTCACAAAAAAAGCGTACAAATTCATCTTTCATATATTAACAAAAATAGGTAATACATTGTGTTTGTGCAAAAAAATTTAGTTCAGTGTATTTTAAACTGACATTTTGCATTTACGCTCATATTGGGTGACATGAAAAAAAAAATGTGTTGGGGGTTTTATCCAAAATAAAAAAAAAGCAAAAAAGACCCAGGCAGTGAAAGGATTCAAATATTCAAAATAATGGAACCAGATGTTACTGCATCCAGATATTTTTCCCCCAGTACCTTTTTTCTGCAACTAGATGTCCTTAGACTGATAGCCAGAATTATTCTATTCACTTCCTCTGAGCCAAGGTCATCCTGGAGCCACCCCCAGTCTGTGACTGGACACTGTGAAAGGAGAAGAAGCACAGTGATGAGTTAATTGTTTTGTCACTCTTCTTTCTACTCCTATCATCCTGCTTCTTATCAGCACATGAACTGATTGGCTCCTTGTGCTGCTTCATCCTCTCACACTCCAGCCCTGCTGTAAAGGGAATACAAGAGGTAGATATCAGGTCAAATGATGCTACTTACACTATTTGCATTAAACAAATACATTTAATGATTAATCCTAGGTTCACACCTATGCAGTGTGCGTTTGATCTGTTTCTTCAGTGCTTTTTGCGGTGCGTTTTGCATTTTTGCGCATGAGTTTTTTCCAACTTGTTGCTGGACAGATTAAAATGCAAAATGCATAAAAACACACTGCATGCTTTTCTGCAGTGTCTCCATTGAAGTCTATTGAATCAAGAATGCAACGTTTTTCATTTAAATAAAATCCCTGACCCTTTCCAAAAAACTGCACTGGGTGAAAACGAGATGTGAACATGTCCCATAGGAAATCATGTTAAATGTACTGCTAGGAGGAAACAGCGGAACGCCGATCATTGTACGGGACCTCTATGTGAGGTCCCGATCATGTGATCGCTGATTGGCGATCACATGAAGAGTAGTATGCAAGATGTCACTTCTGACATCATTGCTTACTACGTGTGAAATCTGTGAATGATCACAGAGGTCACATGGTACAAGGCTATTCACAACAGGCTTGTACCATGTGGCAAGCTGTGACCAATCACAGATCTCACAGTATTTCTCAGTGGCTGCAAGAATGCAGCCAGAGAGAAGGAGAAATGATTGCTTTTACAGCCTTT